GGTCAGCTCCGTGTGCAGTGTGCGGGAGTGATCACATGGGGTGGGGTCAGGGTCAGCTCCGCGTTCGCTCTGTGTAGGAGTGATCATGTCGGGTGGTCAGGGTTAGCTCTGAGTACGCTCCATGCAGGAGTGATCACGTGGGGTGGGGTCGGTCAGCTCCACATAGGAGTGATCTCATGGGGTGGGGTAGGGTCAGGTTCAGCTCTGCGTGCACTCCGTGCGGGCTCGGCCGTGTTGTGGTTTGCGGTTCCAGGTGTCATTCTCCCACCACCCACGCTGGTACCCAGCGTGCGACCTCTCCAGCCTCGTGCGCAGAAGTCGATGTTTCCACCTCTGCAGATCGGCTGGCAGGAGACTCCTGGAGGGGCTGGTCCTGTGGGAGGCTTCACCGAGGCGGCCTCTCTGTGTGGGTGAAATGGGGGCACAGCAAGTGGGAGGGGCCTCAGGTGTGTGTGAGTGTATGAGTGTGTATGAGCATGAGTGAGTGTGCACAGTGTTACGAGTGGGAGTGTGGATGTTAGTCAATGTGTGGGAGTGAGTGATGTGGGAGTGAGTGAGTTGGGGGGGCAGTAGCGGCTGAGGGAGCAGTCAGTGGAGTGCAGCGTCCCCACCTGGCTGACGTGCTGGGTGGGCATAGGCTGGATGAGGTGTGAGGCTCTGTCTGGCAGGGCCCGGCTCAGGTAGGGTGGGGGCCAGTGGGAGTGTCTGGGCCTCCCAGCCCTGGGGACACCTTGTCCATGCCTGGTCCCCCTTAGCTGAAGGCCGTGGCTGTGCCCAGACCCTCCTGGGTCCACTCCCCAAGGCAGCCCTGGGGCCGGTGTCCTCAGCCATAGAGAGACTGTGTTCCTGGGTAGACAGATGGCCCCTTTCAGGGGCAGGGGTCAGTCTGATTGGTTAGCTGGACACCTCGGTAGTGGAGTGAGCTGGAGGAGTCAGCCAGGGCCAACGAGGGCCTTCAGTGCTGAGCCAAGAGTGGGGCTTGGGTCCCCCTCAGCCCGGGTCCTGGTGGTTCAGATGGACCTCCTTGTTCTCCCTGCCAGTCACAGGGGTGGGGCACCTTTCACCCTGAGATCCAGGATGCAGTGCCTGATCTCACCGTCTGTCTTGGGGGCACAGCCACCCACTCAGGGCACACGGCGTCAGGCTGTAACTCCAGCGACTGTGCTCAGGCCTTTTCCTCCTGCACTTGGGGCTCCAGGATTTTCAGGTGTGGATGGGGGACCAGGGCGGGTCTCTGTGGGTGTGGATGGGGGACCAGGGCGGGTCTCTGTGGGTGTGGATGGGGGACCAGGGCGGGTCTC